GTCACAAGACCAGACACAAGACCAGACACAAGACCAGTCACAAGATCATTCACAAGACCAGACACAAGACCAGTCACAAGACCAGACATAAGACAAGAAGAAAGACCAGAAACAAGACCAGTCATAAGAATAGATACAAGACCAGACACAAGACCAGTCACAAGACCAGTCATAAGACCAGACACGTGATCAGCCCCAAGACCAGCCACGCAACCAGCCACAAGTAACGGGATGAGAAATTGATAACAAAGAAATGCTTTTGTTGCAGTTCATTGAATAGCATGTGACTGAAGGACTTGTGACGATCTTGTAGCGGTCTTGTGTAATGGTCTTAAGGAACTGTAAACCTACAACTTAACAAGGCCTTTCCTGCATCTTTTCAAGGTCCTTTGCCTGCTACTTAAGCCAACTTTAAAAGCATGTACAAAAACCGTTTTTTAAACGTACCGGTACATGTACATGTACATGCATTTATGGGTGCTATAGTTGGTAATTTTCAGTAGTACGGTACATGTACCTGTCACGTGTACATATATACATGTATTAGTAATGGAATACACCTGTGCTTGGCCAGTCTACATGTACAATGTGCATTTAAGACCGGCTCAGGAGAATGCACCTGTCTCATGCTTCTTGCCTGCAGCTTTTGCCTGTAGCTGGAGCATGATCAGTGTTCGTTGTCCTGAGCAAGGTCTTAAATGTTAGTTAAAGACTGGCCAAGCACATCTTTATTCCCATTCATAAATACCTTTTTACTCAGAGTCAAAAGAAGTCAACATATGATATGCGTGGCGTGGCGTGTGGCATGCACACAGACTTGACCAATCAGAATTGATTAAACTGTCTTGATTCCAGGTGCCAGCAAGTGATTTACGCAGTGGGCATTGTCACTTCTCAATGGGCATTATCAAATGTTAACACATAGTCACATACATGCACATGTACTGTACATGTTTCAACCAATAGGAATAGAAAAAAACTGTCCCAGGTACATGTATTTATGAGTAAATGTTAATACACGGTCAAGTTGCACACTGTTGAATAGGGAGACTGTCTGAGGTATATACATTTACATGTATGACTATGTTTTTATTCCCACATTTTACCATTTTCTACAGTACTTGTTTGTTAGTTAGTTTGTTTCTTTGTTCTGAATATCATTCTGTTTGTTTTGATCGTAATGAAATGTTCTACACTTGCTGGGCCCCTCTGGAAACCAGCACTCCACTTAAAAGTTTCCCCAGGGTAAAGATACATGTACATGTAACTACGGGTAAATACTTTTCTGCACCTAATCATGCTCACATATTATTGTTTCTTCAAACCTGTAGGTACAGTGATCAAGTTGAGTCTCATCAAAAGCAGTTGGGTAAATGTCTCAAGTGTCTGCTGGACTGAAGAAACCTGATCATTGAGTGGCTGCAGTCTGTGGTACATGTCCATGTAAGGGTCCACCCCTTCCAGTGAACTTTGACCTCTGGTGTGGAGCCATTGAAGCATCCCGTTGGCTGATTTCTCTCACACTTTGAGTTGTTCATATTGAGTCATAATCAATGTACAAACTGATATGATACTTTGAACTGTGACCTTTGACCTGGCATCATGGAGACAGTATTGGACTACTGCCTGTCATATTGTTGCATGTGCTGCAGTTGCTATGCCCCTCGTACACTTGACGACGACCTGTACGAACCACTTCTTTTGGATGAGGAGCGAGCCGCTGTGAATGAACTGCTGAACTACTTAAACCGAGGTAGGTAAGAGTCGAGCACATGGATTGCCATTGGTTGTTATTGCTGAGCAAACTCAAATCCTTGATGATGGTTGGTCAGTCTAATGGCAACACTAGTGTGGTATCCCATTTTATCTTCAGGAAAATTTGAATTCTCAATTCTAATTGGTCGGTCCATGGCAACAAACAGTGTGATATATAACTGTATCGCATGGTTTATATTAAACCCCTCGCAATGCGCTGTTCCAACTCAATGCATTGCGCTATTTTAATGCTAAAAGCAAAACGCACAACTGCAAAAATTGCTTTATTTCAAAGGTTGTGTGTTTGGCCCCTATAAAATCTTTACTGTGCATCACATTTGCTTGAAGACGGGAACGAGTCTGTTATACGAGCGCAATCATTGATCAAATTCCCTGGTAGCCTATGCACAAACTGTATCATGGTACCATGCAAAACTGACTAAAGGAGTGGAAATGTTCACCCTTGAACTTCCCGAAGCTCTTCTGTCTCGACAGAAAGAGATATCTCACTGTGAGTGTGATATGCAGATATATCGCCCTGTCATGTGATAGTTCTGGGCCAATAAACTGACAGTATCCAAGACACAGGTATGACAAGACGTTTTAACACCCTCAGGGGTGCATACAACCCTTGATTTCACCTTGGGTGCCAATAATAATAATAATTGAACATTTATAATGCGCTGTTTCCATAAATATGACGACAGTGCAGTACAAGCTAAAGTAAAGAATAATTGATTTAAGAAATGAAAGGTAAGGATGAATGAGTCAGGATAAATGAGTGGAATGAGTTCCTTGGTTATTAAACATCGTGCCCTACGTCACAGGGCGGCAGTCAATTACTGTTTCGTCGTACATGTACATCTAGCTCTGTCTTTAATTGTTTGTAATATTTCCCTCACCTGGAGGTCTCCAGTTTAATCAAAATGATGATAATCACGGTCCACTGCTGTACGGAATGTTTTGCGGTGCGCACAAACTTGATTCCTGGCTGTATCAGTTTATGTATTAAATTGCATGTGCTGCTCAAGAGCAATCTCTTGGCATTCTACAAAGCATTTTGGGAGGAATATCTGCATGTGCCTTCAAGCTCAACAGGTACTTTTAGTAAGGAAATTACATGAAGAAATGAACTTCAACCAAACTTCAGTCATCAACAAAGAGCTGTACCAGTAGCTTTCCAACAGGACCATATTGTGCCAGTTCACTGTCCCCTCTAGAGATAACTATTATCATATTTACTGCTATTGTGAAAATAGCAGAGGTACCAGGGAATAGTCTGGTTAGCAATCACCACACATTGTACATGTACATATATTGGTTGGGACTGTGAAGCGGGGACTGGTCTAGATGTGTGTCATGATCTGATGTCCAGTGGTGAGAGTGCTGATCATGTGATTGTTACATGTATGGAGGTATAGTATTTACATGCTAACAATTTTCTGTGTTGAACTTTTGCCTGCAGGATAAATGAAATGTAGAGTTGAAAAGAACAGAATGTTTTCATTCATACCAATTGACCTTTATAGGATGCTACTTGTACAATAGTAAAGTTTGTATACATGATGTACATGTATGTACACAAGGCAGGAACTTCAAAGAGGCATTGGAAGCAATTGCCTTGATGCCCCTAGTCTTTGCCTCAATGAATGTGTCCAAAACCAGCTGGCATAGCTAAGGCTGTGTCTCTTGTCAGTGCATCCCTGTGCATTTCCTATGGCCAAAGATCTACTGTAGACCTACATGTACTGTAGCTCTGGGACTCAGCCTTAGAGTAACTGTTCTGCATTATTCCTACTTGCAGAATACGAGGAGAAGCCAACGTTATCGGAGGAGAGGCTACGAGCCATTAACATCCTGACCTACTCCCGCAATGATGACCTCCAGAGGTCTGCTGCCCTCTGTCTGGCAGAGATCAGTGAGAGATGTAAGAGTTCTTGTTGAAATCTGAATAGCAACCTGATTATTGAGCTGGACTGGTATGTTTCTGGAGATCTAATTCTCAGAAGTGATATTTGGAGTATTATTAAATAGTCATGATTTTTAGTAGGCATAATTGTTGATGAAGGATTTAATTTCTGGGAGCACTATGACTCTGCAAGTATGTTGTGTTAATCAGCAAAGGAACTAGAGGGATATTTAGTTGCTGAGGTGGGGGTAGACGTAAGACCGGAAGAAATGTTGATTACCGTAGGAAATCCAGAGAGATGGCACATTCTGTCTTTATTATGGCTGGAAATCAATCATGGGTCACAGAGGTGAAGGGCTCTTATAACAACAAGAAAACATTGGCATTAATGTCTTTGACAGGTACCGTATTACCGATACCTAGCTTGAGGTGTTGTTTTCTTGGAAGATTTCATATAGTTGCGCTGAAATGAAAGGCACAGATGAAATATTAGTCTTGTTTGGACTTAGTGGTTGCGTGGTTGTGTTGGGCAATTCCAGCATTTTTGGAATTGATTCCGATTCCGTCCAGGAATCACAATTCCACTCGGAATCGATTCCAATTTTTACATGTGCGAATGCCATGTTGAGTATACCCGAGATTACATGCAAAATGCACTTGTACATGTACGTGTAAGTTGTTTCCTAAACACTCGTGTCATTAAAAATGATCCCCTTTTATTGCATTGGAAACATGAAAGATTTATTATCATTACTGATTTTTAAATCAGAAATTTTAACTTGATGGAAGCATATCATTTATGGGAAAAGATTATCAATCTACGTAGACCGCTGGCTTTCAGGTTTTCCAGTTTAGATAGAAGTGACCATGAATTTTAAAATGCATATTTGACAAGAAAAGAACATAAGGTGTGTACCTTTATTTTTATGCCGTCAAAAATGTACTGTAGAAATATTTTTTTCCTGAAAGTCCCAAAAAATGTGACCTTATTCCATCGACGATGAAGTATGATAGTTTTCTTGATCTTTCGATTGTAAATTCCATCAAAACTAGACTGCTCGCACGCCGCAGAGCACTGCTTGCATCAGTGGCCTGTTCGTGCAATCGTTGGTGAACATGCCTAAAGCTGCATTCTTCCTATGTGTGTTCCGACTACCAGCTTCAACATGAGGCTGTTAGTCTTTTTTCAAGATGTATTTTTTTTGCGTTGGGGAGATGTTAATTATATATAACGGGTTTGCCCTTACCCCACGTATATTAATAAACTGAGCATACAGTGTTTATTAATATACGTTGGGTAAGGGCAAACCCGTTATATATAGCTGTTAGTCTTGTTCCAAGGTGGAGATGAAATATTTTGAGAATTGCTCATTATTCTGACCTTCAATTCACTCAACAGGTTGAGTAGAATTTCTTTTCTTTATGGCAGAAATGAAGGATGAAAAGTAGTCAAAGATTTGTGTTTTGGCAGAGTGAATGGCGGTAATTGTGGTGCATGTCTCACAGACTCGGAAATGAAGCATCAGCAAAGAAACACTTGCAGCCGGCCCGCAACCACATGTCCAATCACCAACGGAGAGTGGTCGATGCATGCATAACTATTAGAAACACATGTATGAACACCGATCTCCACCAGGACCGATACCATTGCAGATTTCGCTAGCTTCTCTCTCTTATGAATGGTTTAGGTTTAGTTGTCAAACCCTGTTTGACTTTAAATAACTTCGGATCGCTGATTTTATGTCAAGGTTCGTGGGATTTAGGGGATTTTCCAAAAGCTGGCAACATGGGAATTTCAAATGCTTCAACAATTACTTGCATTTCGAGTTTTTCATGGTAAAGGAGGAATTCATATCTGGCTAAGGGCTGCATTGTTTAGGTTTTTTCAGTTCTGAGCAAATTTTTATAATATGTGACGAAGTAGGCCTACTTTTTCCACCACAGTTTGCTTCGATCTTGAAGATTAAACCGCGACGTTGGTCCAGTGGAAGATTTTTTTGAAGACATAAACACTCCAAGAATTTAGTTTCTAATTGGTGTCAATCTTTCAGATGTTGCAATTGAGTTTCCAATAAGAAATATAGGGTAATCAGCGACAAGAAATTTCATTGCAAGGAGTTTGGCGTCCGGGAAAAACTCCAATGTACGTGTAGTTTTCATCGCTCACAATGTAGTACCCAAAAGCTCAGCATGTTTAGGAGTCACAATTGGCATGCAGCCAACAGTGGGCCATCAGCATGCTGCAGACAAATGGGTCGGAGTACTGCACTGTGCCGCTGTGATTTTGCAAAGCATGTGGGTCATGTCTCATCACAGACTTCAGTTTTTGGCAAAGAAAATAAAGCCGCGTGGTTTACAATGTAGGTTCCTTGATTTGGCATAAAACTACACATTTTTTCAAAAAATCGACAAATCATTTTATACGGCAGTCTTTTGGAATCGCAGGACTGTTTCTGGAATCAGATTTCAAGGTTATGGAATCGGCGGTGACGTGGATTCGATTCCTCAAAAAAATGGAATCGCGACTCTGATTGCAAATTTGGAGACGATTCTACCCAATTGCAGCATGGATTTGCCCAAGCCTGTTGCGTGGTCATACTCAAATCCTGTACTTAATACTCAGTATGAAACTGTTTTTTCCATTAATTAATACCTCCCAGCGTGACCTCATTGTAGTCACAAGATTGTCTGTTTGTTGTTACAGTGCTCCACCCCATTAACAACAAGGTGATGGAACCGTTGCTTACCCTGATGGAATCCCGAGACATTGAGACACAGAAAGCTGCCTCCTTAGCCCTCAGCAATCTGGCACTGCATGGCCATGGTATGTACACAAAATGGACTCTTGTACTGTGGGACACCGGCATGACATGCTGGTATCCTCCACAAGCAAACCGATTCACAGCAGCTGATCCTCAGCCCATCACTGCGAGTTGATCTGTTGACTCTGTGTTAATGACCTGTCCTCATTACAGATGTCAACAAGGAGGTGATTATGAGAAGTGGAGCCCTACAGCTGTTGATCAAGTTACTGCGATCCCCCAACGAGGAAATCCAATGCAATGTATGCGGCTGCATCACCACACTGGCAACGACAGGTACATGTGCCATGTCTTCATAGAGTCTCCTTAGGCCTTGCTCCACAAAATACTTAATCATTTCATGGAAAGGGATAACCAACTGACTGATATGTTACACTAAGACTTTTTAAACTGGAATTCAAGATTGTATCTGAAGAAGTTGCAGCTGTTGCCTGTTGATGGTCCATACTGTGAGTTATTATTTCATGTGAGTTTTTCTGTGGATGATTTGTCTTGACATCTGTGATTTCTTTTGTAGATGCTAATAAGAAAGAGATTGTATCCTGTGGGGGTGTTCCACCACTGATCAACTTGGCACGATCACCAGACATGAGAGTAAAGAGAAATGCAACAGGTGCATTACTTAATCTCACGCACATCGGTAAGTTAAGTGTGTGATTAAAAAATCCAAGCCATTTGAAAAGTCAGCACATATACCTGTAAATGTCAACTTTACTGTGTTATAGAAGCCTACATGTAGAATTATGTTCCTTTCTGCAAATGCAGGGCTTTGTGTGAACTTTGGAGTAACACATGGTCAATATTATTGATTACTAAACGGTGGCTTTATGTCTAGGGAAAATGCACATTTACAATGAAGTCAGAATTGGTTGAGATCCTGTGACCTTTATGGTTAGTGAAGGGTTTTTTTTAGTCAGTTTAGTCAGCCTGGCAGTGGAGCTGTACTGTCTTAATCAATACCAGTTTTTATAGTTGAAACCACCACAAAACTTGAAACAAAACTGGTTGAATGACAACAAAGAAATGGCTTTGTTGTAGTTAATCTGAATAGCTGGTGCCTTGAAGTCTGGCTGAAGGTTTTTTTGTGGACTTGTGGTGGTCCCGTGGTGGTCGTTAACTATAGGAATGATTGGTTCTGAGTAGCGGATTCGCTCTGCTCTTTCCAGATTCCACGAGGACTGTTTTGGTATCCCATGGTGCCGTGCCACTCTTTGTAGCATCCCTGCATTCAGATGACTCAGAGATCCAGTACTACTGCGCTGCAGCGCTCAGCAACCTGGCTGTGGATGCTACACATCGCGCATCAGTGGTCCAAGCTGGCAACAACAAGGTCCTGAGGCAGCTTATCAGGCTGTTGGAATCGCCGTCAGAAAAGGTGCGGAGGGAAGACTTACCTCATTTGACCTCTCATCTTTGGTAGTACAAAATGAGGAAAATTACTGTGGTTACCTTTGGCAAAGAAGAAGTGGTGTGCATGCCACTGAATTGTCCTCTATTGTTTCTGGAGTAGACCGTATAGCGCCCTCTACCGTGCATGCATAGACCCAATTCCAACAACACTGCAGATTAGGTCCACAGTATTAGCGAAGGCTCACCTGTTGGATTGATCTTAGTTCAGCAAGTAAAAGTGCAAGTAATACTGAAAGGCATAGGAAAATGGACATAGTACAGGAATTGTAGATGGAAATGTCAGGAGTGTGCTAAGTACTCTTAGCTAGTAAGAACAGATGGAATGCAGTGTTTCATCTGCTCAGGGTGCAGAGTATGCATGACCAATTTTAGTTGATTGTGCAGAAATAGGTCGTGACTTTGGGTAAGACCAAAGCACCTCAGCCTTGGCTCAAGACATGTTCACCAAGTTCTTATCTCTCTGTCTTTAGAGGATGTGTGTCGGCAGTGTGTTAGATCTGCACAGCTTAAGATCAGTTTTCATTTACGTTACATTCTGAAGAGTTCGTACCAATCATATTTCTGTCTTTACAGGTCAAGTGCCAAGCATGCTTTGCTCTGAGGAATCTGGCTTCAGACGGTAAGATTTCTTTTTAATGATCAAAAAAGTGTTTATTAATCATGTCGGAAGATTTGTTCCAATAAAATTGCATACTGCACAAAGTATATGAAGTGTTAAACTCAAAGCCGTGGATTTTGCAAGGTTGTTGAAATAACAACACAAAGGGGATATGTAATACAGACATTGATTTTTGTACGTTGCTGTTCATGGATATTTATAGCTATGCATTACAAAACACAGAAAGGTTTAGACAAAAGGATAGGAGCCCATGAATGACCATTGTTCAAAACATACTTGTCCATTCTGTTAAATGCGTCTTTTTTAGAAGACAACCAGGTAACAATTGTGGAGTTTGGTGCCCTGCCTCCGCTGCACCGTATCATGGAGACGTGCACCAAGGATACAGTTGCTGCGGCGGTGGCGGCATTACGCAATCTTTCCATACACAGAAGGAATGAGGTGAGACTCAGAACATCTAAGATGTTCCTGACATTTTGGCAAGTGCATTCCAGACGTCAATCCCAGCTCATTAGCGTTATGTGGTCAGACACCCTGTAGAACACAGCATACAACAGTTGTCAAAATGAGAAGGCTGCTCCTTGACATTTTGCAGTTGGACAAGCACCAATCATCTTGAAAAGTTTCCTCTATTTTTTGTTCATTTTATTTATTATAATCTTTAATGAGAGTCATCCTTTCAGTTTAACTTAAGCTGCTTTCCAAAGGAGCCTTCACATCAAAACTATAATATATAAATAAATTTAAGCACAATCACAAAAGTGCAGAATGCATACATTGAGATTACAATAATGAATTAAATCATAAGAAAAATCATAAATGAATTACTATTGTTGATTGCCTCAACAAGTGTACCACAAGATCCCAGAGAACACCTGTTACACTTTGATGTGTCTGGCAAGGTTATGGTTAGCTTTTTTACATAGACATCATGACCCTAGAAGGTTTCTCTATTATACTGAAATTTTATGAAAGAGATGATTGGAAAGTTGATGTACATGTGCAGTTTAAAATGTTACAATGTTCTTGTAATGAGAGTTTTCTCTAAAGGGAGTGACATGCATTTTGTATTTCTTAGATGCCAATCGTCAGGGAAAGTTTTCTACTTGAGCTGGGGAACCTACTTAGGGAACCCATGTCTTGGGATGCTCATTGCCATGCTGCCGGCACAATACGAAACTTGGCTGCAGGGGACCAGTTAAGGGTGAGTTGTTGTTATGAAGTCCATAATTTGTTTGCTTGATGGCAAAAACCACCCAAATGGAAATCAAAGCAGCACCAGATTCAACTATACAGTCAATTTACATGCCCTAGGCTGAATTTGGTACTGACTAATACAGAAATTTGTGGACAAATGAACTCAGGTTTGGTTGGTTACTAAGATTACCATGTCATCTCGTTCCTTCCAGGCTATTGTGGAGAAGGGGACATTAGACAGCTTGATTGTGGCATTCATGCGGTCAACATCACCACTAGCGGTCCAGTCTGAATTGACCGCTGCCCTGGCAGTTCTGTCTGCAGATGGTGAGTTCTGCTGATCCAGTTGAAGTCATTTTGCAGATTTTCCAAATCTGGGATTGTTAGATGTCTGCTCTGTTGATTCTGATGAAACCAGCAAACTGCATCATAATTTTACTCGGGCTGAACCTCAAGTCTTCACTTGTGACCATTGTATGATGAGTCTTGACTTAGATCGTGTCTGAAAGTTATGGCTGCAGCTGAAAATAAAATGTAAACTTATGGAAGACACTGCCTAGCGGCTGCTGCCATTTCTCATGTAAATGTGTGTTATTGCTAGCCATAGCCAGTTGATTCAGACACATCTTGCCTATCATGGGTTAGATACAACAGGATCTTCATTTTTTAACATTGACATTATTTATTTATTTCATTTCTTTACCAAGGGTATGCCCAAACAGTTGCAAACTGGTTTCCATTGGGGCCCTGCAATCATTACAAATTAATTAAACAGTTAGAAACTCACAACGAAAAGTAAACTTGACAAATATGACAAACATTATTATTTACAAATACAGACCACTACAACATCATACACACGTGAACATTTAAATAATGGAGGCATTAATTACATTGTTGACTTTGTTGTTGCGTTTGTTTACAGAGCAAGCCAAAGCTATCCTTGTGAATGCCCAAGATTGGAAGGTGTTCAGTAAACTGATCAGTCTAGCGGCTAACTCACACCATGCCGATGTACAGTACAACAGCGCTGGCACCATTGGTCAGC